TTCTCCAAGTGTCCAGCATCCTATCCTCAGCAGCTGAAGCGCAGTCTGCCAAAACCGAGGCTGTGTTATGTTAGTAGAATTGCATGTTAGATGTTATCTTGTCGCTGGCCGCTGGTCTGCATCTAGTCTTTTCGTAGCTAGCGTAAAGGCAATTGCTGCACGGACAGCCTGCATATCTGGCTTCCATTTGTCGTCATCCGCTGCCGATTTTCCTCCCAAGAAGAAAGACAAATTTCCAATCTTGGTTCGTGAGCATTGGACCATGATTTCCCTTTGCATTGTCCACCTCTTGCATCGAAAGAGAAAGTGCTCAATTGTCTCCGTGGCCTGACCACACTCACACAATTCCGATTCCACGGCTCCTATTCTGTGGAGATGTCCATTCAGCCGCGTCATGCCTGTCCGAAGCTGGGCCAGCACATCCGACTCTTTTCTTTTCAGTGCGTCATAAAGTGCACGGGTATGCTTGCCCGGCAGCGCCGTGTCGATACATTTTGAATACTTCCCAACACTTTCCGGGAGTCGCCCCCGGGGTTGTCGCTGCGCGAGCGCCAGACGAAGCGTTGTGGACTTTGCTTGGTACGACGGTGTCTCTACTATGCAATCTATCTTTGTAGCTCTCTGCGCTGCTGCCTTGGCCATTGCTCCCAGTGCAAAGTCCTCGTCCTTGGCGGGCACCCACATGAGTCTAACAGAACACCCTCGTTGCTGCAGGCGCTTGGTCTGGTCGTATATCTCACGAACAGTGCATTGGCCGGATTGCTGCCGAGGCCGCCTGATCACTGCTACTGCCGATAGGTTGCTCGATATGACCGTCACATCCCGGAAAGGAATCTGGTGCGGCATGCACCTCAGCGCCATTGCCACCGCCGCGAGCTCCGCCGTGTACGGGTTCTGTTCGTCTCTGGATCCGAGAGTGGCCGAGTAGCTGGCTAGCACTCCGCCTACGCCGTTGATAGTCGTATCGTACACCACGCCTCCCATTCCCACCATGCCATTCTTCAGTGAGCTGGACGTTGCTATGATGATGCCTTCGGCTTCGCTTGCTGCCTTGGCGGGCCCCGCGAATTCGTCTTTGCCCGAGACAGGAATGCGGCTGGTCCATGGCGGTAAGGCAAACTCGCGAATAGTCTCCATTCGATCCGTGAACGCCGTTGTCACCCACGAAGCAATGGTCTGCATTGGCGACAGGAACCGTTTGCTTGCTTTGTTCCTCAACGCTGCCAGCGGATGTGTTGCGGGAAGGGTCCGAAGGTTGACACAGAGCCTCGTCGCCGCAAGTCTGTGCCGTTCCTCTACCGTATGAATGCAGGCTTCGGCCTCGGCACGCTGTTGCCACGGTTCGGAACGCTCCTGTGATGGCCTGTGCCCCGACTAACTGCACTTTGTTGAGCCAGGCAGCTTCCCTCGCGCGGCGCGCATGCATCCAGACACTGGAGGCATAGTCCATCACCGGCGCGACAGTCGCTACGAACAGCTGCCTCGCCACTTTCGGTGACAACATTTTTTAACCTTCTCAGGCACATGGCGGCAGTAAGCCCCCTGGCGGCCGCTCTAGCCATGTGCTCCTGGTACCGCAGGCCTACGTCCATAACCACTCCCAGGATTTTTGCGCTGTTTCTAGGTTTGACCTCCTTTCCTTTAATCAGAAACGGGATGGCACTGTTTCGCGCGGCGACTCGCGTGAAGTGAATGACCATCGTCTTTTCCGCTTCAAACGTTGCGCCGCTGCGCTTTTCCCACTCGAGCGCACCTTCAATAATTGACTGAATGCCTGACCGGTTCGCCTCCGCGGTCGGGCCGGTCACCCAGGCCGAGTAGTCGTCAATGAAGGCAATGGATCCGCCTTCCGCCTTAATCCTTCGCTGTACTAGGTCTGCGTTGAAGAAAAGAAACAAGATTGGCGATAGTGGCGACCCCTGCGGCAGGCCGGCTTGGGGCAGTTCACGTACTTCCGATGCGTGCCCGTTCACGACGATGGAGGCTGCTCGGTCTGAGCAAAAGGCTCCAACCCACCTTATCAGCCTGTCCGGTATCCCTCGCGCTTTCATCCTAGCCAGCAGTCGCTCCTTGCACACCCCGTTGTAGGCGCCTTTGACATCAAAGCTGATCAGGCTGAGTACCTTGCGAGCTCGCCATGCCTTGTAGATTTGTTCCTGCAGCAGTAGGAGCGCTTGCTCCGCAGACCGTCGCTTCCTCGCTCCGAAGTGGTTTGCAGGCAGGAGCCCGTAGGTCTCTACCGCGTAAGAGATGCGCTCAGCGATGACCGCTTCCATTATCTTCCCGAGAGTTGACAAAAGAGATATCGGCCGCCACGCTTTGGCCTCTGTATAATCGCCCTTGTCCGACTTCTTGAGCGGAATGATTTTCGCACTCCTCCATTGGCGAGGCACTGTGCCGTCCCTGAGCGACGCATCAAAGAGAGTCAGCACCCGGTACTTCACTACCGGCCAGAGCCGTCTCCACACCATCGCCGGGACGCCATCGTCTCCAGGTGCTTTCCAAGGTTTCGCTGCCATGACTTTAACTTCGATCTCTTCCAGCGTCAGGTCCGGCATAGATACCGCTCGTCGTTGCGGTCTCTCCCCTTCCTCGTCGATCCTCGCTGGCAAAGGCGGGAAGAAAGTGCTCAGCAGCTGCTCTGCTTGGTCTGTCTTGCTCTCTGTCATGGATCCGTCTTCCCTCTTCAGGGGTGGTACTTTGTCGCCCATGTTGACCTTTCCAGGTTCGAGATATTTGGCCGCCTTCCAGATGTTGACATCCTCGGCCAGGAAATCGTCCCAATGCGCCTTCTTCTGGATTCGTATGGCGTCATGGTTCTCCTTTGCTGCTTCCTTGGCCCGTCGCTCCAAATCCGATCGCGCTCGGCCCGCCCGCCGTTGTGCTCTGGCCTGGTTTCGCCAGAACGTGTACAGCTGGCGCAGTCGTGTTAGGTCTCGTGTCCACCAGCGTTTGGCATAGGGCGATGGCTGTGCTCGGGGCGTCAGTTCGTGGATTGCCTCCAAGACAACTCGCATCAACTGATCCGTCTGCGTCTGCACGCCGACATCCCAGGGGAGCGGCCGGAGACGGTCTTCCACTCTTGCTGCTATGAGATTCCAAGGAGCATTCTTAAATAACAACTTTTGTGTCGTGATCCTCTCGGGCATCGCAACATCAAATGTCGTCTGGATCGCCCGGTGGTCTGACCCGTGATCTGTTGGATGGAGGGTGCATTTCACCATTTCGTCTGCCAACTCCGAAGTCGCCAGCACTACGTCTATGGTACTTTCATTGTCCGGCCCCTGCCAAGTCCTTGTGCCCCTCGGGAGCAGGCTACAAAGGGCATGTTCGTTCATTAGATCGATGACAGGCTCGGCTTCGCCTTGTCTTCTTGGCGAAACCTCGTCCCCGGTCCAGAGTAGGTCGTGGCGGTTGAAGTCCCCCGCGAGTACCACATCTGTTCGTCTGCCTCTTCTGTCGCGAAATCGCTGGATCACGTCATGCAGCGTTGCTAGTGTAGATACGAGTGGCTCCGTTTTCTTTCCTTGTACGTATACAGACACTACCAGCACATCCCTATCCGGCAGTCGGAGCACGGCCGCCGTGAGGTCTGCTGAAGGTATCGGCACCTGCTCAACCTCAATGTCGTGTCGCACCCAAAGCATGCTTCGGATCGGCCAGGGTGCATCATGCTTCTGTGTCGGTATGATCTTCGTCCAGTTGCTGTGCCCCGCAGGGCTCGTTACCACGTCGCCGTCGACTTGTTTTGCGTATGGCTCGGAGACCGCTATAACCCCATAATCTTTTAGCGCGATGTCGTTCATCAAGCTCTGTTGCACCGGTTCTCGCTTCCGCACATTGAGTTGTAAGATGCTAAGCGTCTTACTCATTGCTGCGTGCGTTCCGCACACGGCAATTTCGACTGAACGACTCATGAGGTCCGCCACACGGCACGCACCTCGGTTCTGCCGCCTGGCACTCCTTGTGGTGATGTCCTGGCATTGCGCACCTCCCGCAAAGTCGAGGATTCTTGCACTGAAACGATTTGTGGCCAATCTCCTGGCAGTTGTAGCACTGCACTGTCCCTTTCCGTGGTTCAAAGGCGTTTGTAATCGCTGACTCGCCAGCCAGGTCAAAGTAATGGCCGTCCAACAGGCGTCTCGCATCACTTCCCTTCGTGACATAGACGACAATTGACCCGTAGGCTTTTCCCGACTGTTTGTTGCTCAGCCATGATATTTTGGCGATATTGACATTGTTCTCTGCGCCGAGCGTTTCTGTCGCCCCTGGTAGAACGTTCCCTTCCGCATCCCGGGTGGGCGATAGGGAGCACTGTTGCAAAACCCCCGGTCGTTTCGTTTTAGGTTTAGGGTCTTTCGTCCTTAGTCATCTGGGTACTTCGGGTCGATGTACCGCGGACTAGCAGCGGGCTCGCGCGGTAGCCTGCTGCCAGTCTAATTGATCACTTTACTCGGCACGTCAACTGTGCAATGGCGAACCATGCCGCTATAGAGATG